CCTTGGTGTGACTAAAACTTCTCTTGATAATTCCTAATTTACTATTTGCTTTTTTTGCAGTTTGACTGATGTGTTGTTTGAATTTTAGTTCTTTGTCTATGGTGAATCCTAGGTCTTTCTGTTCTGTCACTGACTCTATCATGGTACCATCTAGGTTGTATTGTTGGTTTACGTTTTTACCAACTTAGTGTAAAACTTTACACTTTTTTTTGATTGAACTTTAATTGCCAATCATTTGACCAGTTAACTAGAGTGTCAATATCTTGGTGAAGGCTCTCTCGCTGTTCGGCACTGACACATTCCCCATAGAGTTTGGTGTCATCTGCGAAAATTTTGATTGAGTTTCTTATCTTGTCTGGGGCATCATTAATATAGTGTCAAGATGAAGGTTATGTATAGGGGATTGCAGAAATATAGTCATTGTATGGGCTAATTCATTCAAAATGGCGATATGTACCCCAGAGGTGTGAGTACCGTAATCCAGCACCAAATTCGAAAATTCAGAACAATACTTTGCACAAATGGCGTTCGTGATCAGCTATAAAACGCTTACCCCCCATGGTGTTATATACCAAAATGTACCTGTTCATATAGGACTTCGATTGATATACATTAAATTATAGGGAGTCAGGTTACTTTTTGAGATATCAGCGTCCATTTATTGTAACTCGCGTTTGCTACCATTTCCTCAATTCTGAGATGACGGGCATACGCGTAGTAAACATGCTCGCGCCGGAACTATTTTGACCTACATCGCTATTTTCGTAATTCAAATGAAAGTAGAACTCATCCTCTTTATTTTGATACCAAATAGTGGCATACTAGGTACCCAAGAAGCCAACTATGGCGTTATTTAGAACAAAACCACACATTTTTAAATGGACTATATAGTCATACCTTTTGGCGGATGGATATGGAACCTCACACCAGAACTTGAATTTTGTGATTTTTTCATTAATTTACCGTAGTGACACCATAACGTATCATAACTTCCGGAAATGAATGCCTTTCGGAAAATTTTGGGGAATATTTTCACTTCGTTTACATTTCTTGTATAACTGTACTTATTGTTGATCGGACGGAAAGATAAGCTGATGTAGTTACACTAGGGTTCGTTTACTACCATTGGGAAGGCACGTGAGGGTCCCATTCACCAGGTAACACTTATATGTCGAAGTTAAGTTCTTGCTATTTTTACCATGAAACCGACTGTAGTCAAAGACTTTGAAAAAAATGTACAACTGTGCAAATATGATGTATATTTACCTTATTTGCTCAACGTTTTCCCTGTAATGTCTTTCAATTTAATAGTCATACACATTTGTATCTTCTATTTGATATGTTCCTTTTGAATCCTGGTATTTACAATGTTATTCAAGCTCTCTGTGAGATAATTTACAAATATTCAGATTTTCAATTACATGCCAAAAATCTTTATAAGCTCTCATTTCATTGGTCAATAGTTTTACCAAAGGTTATCGTTACATGAGCGTTGATTGGATGGATTTTATGGCGGCTATTTCAAAGTCGTAGTTGCGATGATTTGTTTTTGAACTTTGCGTCCTTATTTCCACTTTCCATTTCCAAAAGCATAGCAAATCAAAATATTTCTTGATGTTTGAATAGTTTTACATATTTCCCTTCATACAGAATTTTTTTCAATATTTTTTCTAAAAATGTCCCCAATCTGTAATTAAATGGGTTAAGACATAGGCTAGCGGTTCAGTAGTTTACAGGTAAAATCGGACAACTTAATTCATAGACAACTCCTATACTAGACGACTCATCCCCTGGACAAATCATCTTTTACCACATGATAATCCCTAAAAACAATCCTGGGAAAAGGGGTGAACTTCAAAATCACGTAAAAATTCACGTAATTTATTGGTCAACTTGATTTAAAATTACCCCGATTTATCCCGTTCCAGGACTATAGTCCTGTACGGAGCCAATACATTTGCCTGTACGATTACAACTTGGGAGAATTATCTACGCCCCTTCCACTTAAGAAACCTACCTCAATGCATTCTAGAACTCAAAATGTAACTTCTAATATATTGGAACCGCCGATTGTCTGGGTTAGTTGGCAGAACGAGGTCTTTTTGTTTCTTATGGCTCTTTTGGTCGAAGTTCGATTAAGATGGCGGTTATAACGGAATTTCCCGAACTCTTCCGTAATAGCACGAACTTGGTTTTTCGTTACGTCACTTCCGCGTAAAATGGATTTGTTTCGGGTAAGAGGGAATTTCGAAAATTTCGGACAATATTTTCAATATTTACTGCCATGTCGACATCCTATGCTCTTAACTGTATACCGAATGGTTAAACAATGTTTCTTACCGGAAACAAATCCATTTTACATGGAAGTGAAGTAACGAAAAACCAAGTTCGTGCTATTACGGAAGAGTTCGGGAAATTCCGTTATAACCGCCATCTTAATCGAACTTCGACCAAAAGAGCCATAAGAAACAAAAAGACCTCGTTCTGCCAACTAACCCAGACAATCGGCGGTTCCAATATATTAGAAGTTACATTTTGAGTTCTAGAATGCATTGAGGTAGGTTTCTTAAGTGGAAGGGGCGTAGATAATTCTCCCAAGTTGTAATCGTACAGGCAAATGTATGGGCTCCGTACAGGACTATAGTCCTGGAACGGGATAAACCCCGATCACCATGCATTTTTAAGAAGAAGGATTTGCCAAGGGACTTTTGGGTATGGATGGGTCGTGCGTGAAGCCTGCGGCGCAATCTAGGGGGATCTTGGGGTGTGGGGCATGCCCCAGAAAATGTCAAATTTAGACCCTCTCTGATGCATTTTGAACATATCTCAGCACAACATATTCCCAATGATAAAAATAAGAAAAGAATGTTGTTAACTCGACTTTGACAAAAAAGTTTGACTTTTACTAAAATATACATTTTGCACTTATCCTTCAAAGTATTTACATAATGTATGGGTTCCTGAGAAACTATACATAGTATAGAATTAAATATAATATGAGAAATGCGATCTTCTAGCTTGATGTACTGTAGACTAGATACTGACATAGTTTCATTTCTGTCATTATTACACTTTCACTTTAATTAGTTTTAGAGCTTTTAAATCTACGCACGGTTTCAAATGTAAAAAAATCTGGGAAAGGGGGGGGGGGGGGGTTGGGCCCCAACGCCCTCCCCTTTCCGACGCCAATGTAATCTGTGGAGACGTTTCAAATACATAGTCACTATAAAAAATTCTCGATGGGGACTATTAGTATTGATTTATCAAATAGTCTATATAAAAATTCTTCTTTCATATTGGAACACCCTGTAGACATAGTGTCCCCAAAAAGTCCATGTAAGCCTAATGCTCAGGTAATATCTGCTAAGAGTTATACAAAGTTAAAACCTATGATTATATTCAAAGCAAAAAAAAACACATTTTAAAATCAAATATGAATTGATGATATAACATTAAAATCTGCGCAAATGCCAAAGGACAAGTTTTCCAGGGTTGAGTTGGCTAGAAGGGGTCCAGAGGATGAGTTGAGTAGGTGTTGAATAGGGGTTGAAATATCTAGCCAGGCGGATGAGCTGTCCGTAGGTCATCAATCATTTACCTTTTTAATGATCTAAGATTCCAATATTCGGAATCGTCCCATTTGACGAGTCCATTAGTCTTATTCAGAATCGTCTCATTTGGCGAGTCCATTAGTCTTAGATAGGGACTCGGTCACACGAAAAGTGTCATCCTTATAGGTACAAAGAAATTTTTTCACGCAACCCCAAATCACTATGCAAATAACAAGATGCATCCTAATTTCTCGTTTTCCATTTCTGTATACCTTCGTTCAATAGTTGTTATAACTAAACATAAGATTCTATACTGAAAATATTTATTTTTATTAATGACCTCAACAAACTGATACTGATATCAAATATATAATGAGGCAAAACAATGGCGTAGACAGGATTTGGTGACTGGGGGTTCTATTTTTCTGTTATTCACAAATCCCACGTCCTGACCCAACATTAGGGTTTCTCACCTAAGCATTTTTGTACGTATTATACATACAATTTACACTCGTTTTACAAACCCAACTCCCCAATTGGAGTACATGTATGTGTTCTTTGCAAATTCTGTAAAAATAGATCTACAGTATGTACCATTTTTTTGTCGAAAAAATACTGAATTTGGATATTGAATTTGAACTTTATTTTAAAAAATCGATATCTCTCTTTATTACGTTCAACAAAGTTAATTAATAATTCTATACCTAATTTTTTTGTGAATATTTCACTGAATAGATATTCCGAAATCTGATTTGCTCCGAACCAAGTATTTTACATTGGTTTACATGGGAACGACGATTTTCAATATATTCATCCGTTATCAATATTCAGAAATTTAGGGAAAATCAGATATGGGGAATAAAGTCAAGGTACGCCTCCAACCCTATCAAAAGCATTTCCATTGCAAATTATATAAGTAAAAGTTCAATTACAAGGAGACTTTAACAGTCACACAGTCCAATGGGGAGCTAACAAGTGGTGGGATCGTCTAATTTTGTGACCCCCAAGCATGATTTTTAATAAGAAATATCACTTATTTCGGAATTTACAGTATTTAAAGCTGCTTTATCTCGGACAACATAGATCAGCCAATGTATAAATCAATCATACTTTTGCAGGAATTTTGTTGGAAGCTAGTCCGGAGCAAATAAGAAATTATTGAAAAGGGCGCAGACGTCCTACAGTATTTAGTACTCGAAAAGATCCATTTCCATTATAAAACTTTAATTCTATAATTTTTACACGCTTTTAAAATACACGGGATAGTCTTATTACTGAGGAAAACATATGTTATTTCAATGGACGATTCTCGGTTTGGAGAACGAAGTCCATCAATCTAAATGAGCATTATCCCTGCTTCGGACAAATTTGATTTTTTACATAATATAGATTTGAATGTCTTCTTTTGAATAGTCATAATTTAATTTGGGTAAGATTTCTAGATTTCTAGAGATCTTCAAGAATTCTTTTAAGTACAAGGGCTATGTTATCAAAAGATGGTCGTTGCTTCGGATATTTACTCCAACAGCGCTTCATCAAATCATACCTGAAATATGAAAAATCAAAATATTATCACGCAGTTTATACGTACTATGGGTTAGTGATCCGAAATGTAAGGATGGTACAGAGGGCAGAGCGACGTGGTACATACAAACTTCAAAATTACTACATGTAGTAACGACCCATTAACTTTTTAATTTTTCGAGATGGTCGACCAGTAGTTTCAATTCTAAATAAAATCAGTGCAGTATTATTATCTTGTGTGGAGAAAAATTAAATCAAATAAAAACAAGCCTCGAGACATAACCGATTTGTTCCAAGACGATTGTAATTGTGACCTGATACACTTGGTAATTGAAAAAATCGGAGAAAATTACACTTACACATTGTCTGGACTTTGCTCTGGCTTCTCTAATCTATTTCCATTCTTCAAATATTCAGCTAAGTTTGTATTCTTCATTTTTCGGTAAGGTTTATCCCCTAGATTCAAGAAAATAGCAGCTTTAAATCCTAGCATACGTAGATTGGTCGTTCTGATAAACTCGTTGCAAACACAAAGAATACTCTAACACAGGGTGTGAATTAAATGATGATATTACTAAATGCGTGGACATATTTTTAATGGCATATTATATATTTATTTATTACCAAATGAAAATATTTCCCAAAGGAGGACGCCAAAACTCCAAACATCGCTATCAAACGTAAACCGATTGGTTGTTATAACCTCAGGCGCCCACCATTTCCACGGCCCACCCTATATAAAAAAGAAAATAACAAATATAGAAAAATCGAAGAATTTTTCCGGTATCGGCTTATTATCAGCCAATATTTTGATCATAAATATAGATCACATCAGTTTTCTGACAAATCAATATCTGAATTCTAGCGAATCATAAAAATTTGTAATAAAAGCAAACATTTATGTATTTAAATGTATTCAACTAATACTGGCTTACTAGCTGACGCTCAGTATTTTACAATATTACACAAAAATAATGCGTATAAACTTACAGCGCCTATAGTGACGTATTCCCCCTGTTCATAAACATCTCTGGAAAGACCAAAATCGGACACTTTGCAAGTGAAATCTTCATCCAACAAGATGTTCCTTGCAGCCAGGTCACGGTGGACTACCTAGTGAAGAATGAATTACTCGATCAGAATATTTCCAGGAACCAATACAAACGGAACATTACATACTATACAGATATGGCGATTTTTATTAAGTATATCGTAGGGCGAATAAAGTTGCTACAAAAATACCTTCTGTGAATGTAGGAATCCCATCCCCAATGACGTATCAAGGCCGAATTTTACCAAATCTCTAACATGTAGATCATGTCTTCTTCCTTTCAATTGTGATAATAAACTACCATTGCATAAATACTCCAGAACGATTGCACATGTACCTGTAATGTTACAATTATAAAATTTCTTATTTTGGGACTTGACCTTTGAATCATGCTAAAATTTGTTTCAGACGAACATATGGACTGTACGTCACTTAACCTTATAAGCTATTAGTGATAAAGCCGACAATGGACTACTTGCAATTTCAATTTATTTACCATCAGATCTGTACCACCCATGCAGCTTGACAACATTAGGATGATCAAACAGCTTCATAAGCGCCAGCTCTTCCATAATATCCAATTTTGCCTTATCACTTGCTGTATCTAGAAATATCATAAACATTATACATGCAGTAAATTAAATTCATTATCTAGGACACAGTGAACAACGCATGCACAGCTGAGCTGAAGTATTATAAGTTTTTGTAATCATGTAATTTAGGATCAAAATAATTCCACTGTTTATTCTTGCATGTATATGTGCAACCCAAATGATACTTATATACCTTTTAAAACCTTTACTGCTACATTGACTCCAGTTGCAATCACCATTCCCTTTATGACATCTCCAAAGTTCCCACTCCCAAGTCTACCATCATCGAACAATTTGATTTCTTCCTTATTAAATTGATGATTGTTTTTGATTACGTTAGCATTGGCATATATATTTGCATCGGTCTTATCTTGATTACTAGGAGACACATCTTCTTGAGCATGCGCATTATTCTCAGGTTCATATTCATTTCGTCCTTGCTGAATCTGCTGATGAACTGTTGGTGTATTGCTTGATACGACAGGCTCGATGTTTTCATTACTATTATCATATTGCGGTTCTTCCAATGGATTCGAACAGCTGTCAAGTTCATTGTCTTGGTGAACTGGTCTTCCTATAGATCTAAGAAAGGATTGGTTGACGTACAGATTACCCTCTTTTCTGTTTTGTGATGCTCTGAGATGTTCCTGTTGTGAATAAATCTGCTGATGCACTGTTGGTATATTGCTTGATACGACAGGCTCGATGTTTTCATTACTATTATCATATTGCGGTTCTTGCAATGGATTCGAACAACTGACAGTGTCTAGTTCAATGTCTTGGTGAACTGGTCTTCCTATAGATCTAAGAAATGATTGGTTGACGTACAGATTACCCTCTTTTCTGTTTTGTGATGCTCTGAGATGTTCCTGAAGGCATAAATGTTGATATTTAACATATGGGAACATGATATACATGTCAAAGAGTAAATAAGCCAATATGTCGTATAAAAATTATAAATAGCTCTACTAGACCACTCAGTAACATTATGGCATCCAGAATATATATTTTTTCATCTCGAAAACTGTCCATGTACTTCTAATTCGTGCTACTTACATCTGATCCGACCGCAGTCTCTGAAGAGGAATGTTTACCAAATGCCTGCTTACGAGTGCCTAACCTGTGTTTAAACAATCTTTTAAAAAAAAGAGTCTGACATTTTGAACAAGACAATTATGTGCGAAATGTCATCACACAACATTTGTTACAGACACCGAACACCAACCGTCAAACACCGTCCACAAAAAGGTTTGAGGCATAACACATATGTCACTATTTGTGATGGTGACATTAATGTGGCAAGATGGAGTTCTAAGCAATGTTTTATGGACAAATGGATGGATATTTTTATCATTCTGATAACTTTATTTCGAAGAAAAGCATATTATTGTAATAACGTTTTATATTGTGGTTGGAATATAGTTATGACGAAACTGTGACTGTCTTAAATTATATTCCATACAATAGGTGGTCTTTTGAAACATACTTAACAACCAATTCTTACCTGTTTTTCCTTCTCAGTATTATCACTATGACAATGCATATAATAATCAGCAAAACGACGCCACCAATTACACCCCCGATAATGGCACCAACATTAGCTGCAGTAATTAATAAAAAGTAAATCAAAGTTATAAGCAGTATCAATAAAAACAATGTGTGTATATGTGTAGGGAAAATCGACAATAAATACACTAAAAATATTATAACAGAAAACCTATCACAATGCAGTACTCTGACCTACATCTTTCTTGAATATATATGCCTTTAACTTCTTCTGAGTCGCCTTCTTCTACAGTCACAGCAGCGACACTTATGGTGTAGTTGCCCACTGGTAAATCCTGCACATCATAAGAATTCCCCGTTTGATTTCTTTGATACTGTAAATGCCCTGTTGATTGTTGGAAACATCTTATGGTATAATGCCTCAGATGGCCGTTCATGACATTGGGTGGGATCCAATTTATAGAAATTGCACCTTCATTGAGTATTGTAGCTGTCAGATTCCTCACTTTAGCTGGAGCTGTAATTGAAATTGAGCTGATATTATAAATGGTAAAATACCATATAAAGGATTCAAGGTTACCATGTGCATGAAATGTACTTCAGAAAATATTCATAAACTGATAGGGACACGAATAGATCATGATACCACAATTGAAAACTAAAATGCATTTATATTATCAAACTAACGCTGGGATAAAACATGAAAATAGAATCTTGATCAGTAGATGAGAAAGTGGGCTAATGGCAAGACAAGCATCCGACATGTGTGAGGAATATTGTGCATAGCTATCAAACGCATTTCTGGTGGAAAGCTGGAACTTAGTACATATTTAGTTACATTTACCTGCTTCTAGGGTAGCGGTGTGGAGTGTATCACCCCAAGGTCCACTTCCAACACTAGTACAGATCCTCAGTTTAATGCTATAATTCGTAAATGGCTGAAGATTTACAACTGAGGCTTGCCCGTTTTGGTTTGTAAACGTTTGAGCAAATCCGATAGTGTGATTTTGAAAAACAACTTCTTCATTGTTTCTTGTAATATGGCTCTCAGCCATTGTTATAACACCATTCGAAATAGCAGGAAATGTGAACGACATTTTCACAGAATATTTGTCAGGGAATGCTTTGATACTAAGTGGTACATCTTCAGGTACTGGAAAATAAAAATGATACATGACTGTATATATGTATATAGTAACTTCATCATATGATTTGTTTACCCTTTGCATTCGTTTGACTTCACTTCTTAAAAGAGAGCTTCGTCTTCTGTAGTTTAACTAGACTCTGCACGCAGGGTAAGATTTGTTTCAACAAGCGACTAAAACAGAATTCAGGTGAATGAATGTCAAGCTCCATCAAATTGCTTGAAAGAATATATACTGTAATCATAATATGCAAATAATGAAGTTATCATACCATCTTCAAGTGTTCTCTTTGTTATATTGGACTCTTGTCCAAGTCCTGGACCACTCCATCCGTGTACTTTTATAGTGTAATTCGTGTATGGATTGAGGCCAGTAATATCTCTCTCAACTTTGCCAATTTCCTTGGTTGCTGCTGTTCCGTTTTTGAAGCAGTCATTAATCTCATCCATTGGATTTAGTTTCGTTAAAACCTTTAACACAATGTTCAACAATATGATTCACATTCTAGAATTGCTGAATTAGATTGATTGCTAAACGATTTGGCGCCGTAACCACAAGGTTGCGAGTTCGAGACGCGTGTGCTCCTTGTGTTTATTCATGACTTAGATTGAGCATTTGATTGTTTTACTTGCTCTAAAACCATATTACCTCTGTTTGTGGATTCCTTATAATGGTGTATACCACTCCTTCAACACAGTTGCCAATTTCAGTTTCTACTCTTAAAATATAATGAGTAAGTAAGCCATTTGGTTGGTTTGGATACTGCCAGAACGCCGTTATACTCAAAGATGTCTTCGCAATAGAATTCAAATTTGTAACACGTCCCGAATCTAAAAATATATTGTGGAATTAAACACTTTAAATGAATTATGAAATTTATGTGTGTTATCTTTCCCGTTAAAAATGCATTTGATTTCACAGTTCCCATATGTCTGAATATATAGGCTAGCCTAATCAATTTATAATCGTTTTTAATATATTTTTCATGCCTTTTATTTCTTAATGTAGTACTTACAATCTTCTTTGGTTGTTGTACAAACTTCAATACTTGGTCCTTCAATAATTGTTACAGCAGAAACGTCAATGCAGTATTCAGTCCAGGGCGTTAGATCTGTTACCGTAAATGCCAACAAAGATGAACTACCAATTTTGGTTCCATTGTTAAAGTAAATGTTGTAACTACGTATGATTCCGTTTGTAGTGTCAGGTGGCCCCCATCTCAAATTGATAGAAAATGAAGAGACTGGATATGAAGATATCGTTGCAATCCGACCAGGAGCTGAAAATAAAGTTGATCGGGATTATTTTGCTTTTAGAGAAATAGTACAAATGTGCAACTAAGTGATGAAGATGGATAAAGACCAAGTTTTTAATAACACCATGGGTAAGGAACATTTAAGATCACAATCAGCGAAGCCATTATCAACATCCCAAAAATGATGCAACGCACAAAGGAATAGCACCCGGTACTACCCTGTTATATGATGTTAATCATACTAACCGCCTTCCCCTGTTGATCCAGTGTATTCAGCACTCCATGGGCCTACTCCAAAAATATTAAACGATCGGACGACAAATGTGTACTTGGTAAAAATCTTTAATCTAGAAATAGTCCATGTCTTCATTGTACTGTTTGTCAGTATTTCAACGCTGTTCAAGACACCACCCGATGTTTCCCAGTATTTAACAGCATAGTTCGTTATAATGCCATTTGGGCTCAGAGTTTCGCCCCATTCGATTTTAAGAGAAGTCGATGAAATATTGTAGCCATACACACTCTGTGGTGAACCTTCTGGTGCTGAAAGTTTAGAAATGCAATCATGTTAGTGATGTTAACAATAAACCTGTATGATTGAAATTTCATCTCTATATTGTTATTCTTTAGATGGAAAGATGTGATCTGCGATGTGTGTTTTACTAGATAATATTTTGTTTTCTCAGTGGCCAGTACATGTATTTATTTTAAAAAAGATGATAACACAAACCACATATATATATATCATACATACCATCTTGTTTTGATTCGATTTCAAGTGACATTCTTTCACCAGTTCCTTTTGCATTAATGGGGAACACAGAAATATTGTATTTTGTAAACGGGGTAAGTTCTTCAATGGTGTAGTTGACTATATTTGTTGAATCTACCGTTGGCCCAGTAATTAGTTTTTCACAATCTTCCACCAGGTCCCTGCCAACATCCAGTTGTTTTTCCGAATCTAAGTCAGAGTATCTACTGTCGTTCTAAAATGAAAATGATAATCACAATTAAGCTAGCATTCTTTCTTGAAAAGAATATAAAACATTTACCAAAATATTGAGGCCTTTTAATGGACTTTTTAAAAAAGGCGTTTGATTAAAAACTCATATTTGAATTTTAAGCACTTTAACCAAAGTGTTACGAAGCTAATTTTATGATGATTCATTAAACGACATTACCCAACAACGGGTGTCATCAGGTATAGTGTAAGTCACGTGAAATATTATTCCTCTGAAACAACTCTGTCCTCGGTCAATCCGCGTCAAATAATGTGTGATAATTCCATTGCTCTCCACTGGCAGCGTCCAACTAAATGACGCATTTCTTGCCATCACGTCAGTGCTTTTCAAATCAGAAACCCTTCCTGAAACTGGGTAAATTGAAAATGAATAAAACAACTTCATATATACTATAGTAATAACGACTTTTCATTTTTCTGATCTTTGAAAAGTTTCATTGATATAGTGGTCCGTGTTTTGACGCATACATACGGCAACAAGTTATCTATGAATAACGGTTATGTACAAATAAAGATCATAATTCATGAAGATGATAATTCATGCTAGAAATAGAATAGACGATTTTTCCTTACAGTCTTCATCAGTTGGTTGTACCAGGGGCGACGTCATTTCACCCTGTCCTTTACTATTAGCGGCAACAACTCTGAACTCATATGGTATTCCTGCAAATATACACCCCATGAGAAGGGGGTTGATGTGTATATTTGGATCAAAATCATATATTTGCGTATGGGTACATCTTTGCACGCTACGTCCTTGTTCATTCGATCGATGGGACGAGCTGAATGAACGAAGATGGAATAAATGAATATGTGGTAATGTCAAGTTTGTTAAAATCATATAATTATTAGATATTTGACTATGAGTTTTTAATACTATGATTACCCTCTGCAGAAAGAGGGTGTTTGTCAATAAACCTGGTATCTATTCACCTATAAATTATTCGTCTTTCTTTTAATACGTGTTACCTGATTTAAGTCGTGTTATTCGACGTTCAGTTGTAAGCCCAACATTTTGGTATGCCCATCCCACTGATTGCGAACAAATTTTATATGACACCGTGTACGAGAGAATGACACCATTTGTGATCGATGGTGCTGCCCATGATAGTGTTACAGTTGTAGCAGAGGTATCATCTACTTTAAAATCCATTGGTGTTTCAGGGGCTAAAAAGAATTGTAAAATGTATAACGATAAAAAATAATAACGCAACCAAATGATCTAAATCAGACGTAATTGTAAGTAGACGGTGAGCTACACTGATTGAACACTGGAGACATCTGGGCGTTTTGTCCATGATGATAGGATGTAAATAAAATATTTTGAGTTGCGGGCTTCATTTCACTAAAGCGGAAATGTATTTTCACACGATCCTGCAGCCATGGAATTTGACTCATACTCGTAATTCGCACTTACGTATCTCTTCAGTAACAAAACATCTTGTGGAAGGATTACTTTTTAGATCCTTAACTTTGGCTATTACAGTCGCACATATTCTGATTCCAGGCTTAAGATCAGTTATATTAACGCCAAATTGAAGTCCTTGGTTAACTATGTCTCCAATAGTTCCAGGTTTATCAATGGTGACCTCATATGTATCGACCCCACTTTCACTGATAGATCTTCCCCATACCAGGTAAATGTAATGGGTGTGTTTTCTTGTTTGATAAATAGTCCCGGGCGGACCTGGTGCTGTAAAATACATGTATCATGTATAATGTACCTGTATTACATGCATAGTGCCATGACAAAGTGGACCGAAATGTCTTTTTAAGGTTTTAAATATCTCGTTCACAAAGCATTTATTTCATCGTTGTATGATTTTAAAGTAACAGTAAAACCACTCCTGTAGTATTTAGGGCTCGTTGAGATGTTTGTAATGGTGTATTATAAATCTGAAATTTGAAATCGAACTTTTTGTGTAGTTATTGATAAACGCAGTGTCGAAAAGTAAAGAAATAAGGAAATGATAAGTAACAAAAAATAAATAAAGAAGAGAATTTCAATGGCATCAAGCGCAAACATTTAAACACCTACCCGTCATTTGGCCTTCCCCACCGTTAGCAAACACATCTCTGCTGTCAGCCGTACTCAGCACCGACTTTACGCTTAAATTGTACATTCTTCCTGGGTATAAATTATGTATCGTAAGTTGTTTTATAGTCCCAGGTACTGTGAAATTAGAGTTGTTTCTCTCATCAGGTGGATATATGGAAATTCCAAATTCCATAAAAGCTTGTTGAGTGTCCCATGACAGTGCTATCGAGTCATGGTCAGTGGCGCTTGCCCTTACGCTGCCCTGTATCGGTGGCATTGGCCCTAAGGAACAATTATACAAATACTGCTGACTAATTTTTTTTATCAAATGTATAACAAATGCGAAAGGCTTTAACAATATGTCGACATCGTTCTTGAAAGAATAAATATTAGACTATTTGTCAAGTTCTATATAGACTACTTCAAGGTCATCAAATATTCAAAGTTATGTGAGTTGTTTTATGTGAGCTACACGTTTGATTAACATCAAATACAAAATGTGGCATTAATTAATCTTTTATTAGTGTGATAAATCATAACTACAAATATCAATAGGTCTCTTACTTGTTTCTTGCCAGAGATAGATGGCGCTGCTGTATTGGGTAATTCCGTTGTCAGCTACCACTGTCCGAATACGTACAGTAATATTAGTCCCCGGGTTATAATATGAGCTCAGAGATATCGATGTAACATTTTCCTCAATTATTCTGTATGGGGGGTTGTTGTATATTTCATATGTACTATATCCGCCTTCGATAGGTTGCTCCCAACGGACGAAAATTGTATACTCGTCAACTGGCTCACTGTTGATAGATCTTGGAGGACGAGGCTCTAAAAACATATTCATCTAAGGTTTAACTTTGTCACTTGGGTCACTTTTTGAGAGTGAAGCTCTATCAACTTAAAATAATATCAATCTTTGTCACTGCAAACATTGCAAGAGGGCAAGGTTTTTTCAAGGATTCTAATCGATATAAGGGTCAATCGTGTTACTGCAGAATTGTTGAAGTCCATGGCTCTGTAAAGTTCAATTCAAGGGTTCACTTTGACACATAGTATTTTCATTCCAAGTGTTAACTTTGACATGGTCAGTATTTCAATTTCAAGGGGTAACTATTATGAAACGTACATGTATCTGTAAACATATTGATTCAAGGGTTGATTTAGACACTTAACAATTTAATTCAAGGATCAACTTTTAAAATTTAACTTTGAAACTTAAAAAGAAAGTTAAATATCCCCAGCGTAACAATAGAGCATAAAACATCCTCAAATGGATAACACTTCAAGGTCAGGTTTAGGTCAATCATTACTGTAAAGCTCAGCTGCAACACTTGTCAGCCATTAAGGACACGAAAGGGCAATTGCACAATTTATATGGTACGGGTAAGCGAAGGTTGAAACTTGTCAAATTATAATGTGTACTTTCACCTCCTTAGCATGTCATATATCTTACTTGTTAAAACACTAGTATTAGTTGATACTTCTACACCTTCAGATATAGTGTATTTTATCTCCATCCAGACAGTGTATGACCTCCCTGGTTCGAATCCAGTCACTGTCCAAACTGTAACACCATTCACCGGTACAGATATTGATTGAGATATGGCGGAACCACGTTGTCGGTGGTGAATCCATAGTCGTATGTATGTACCTATTGGACGCTTCCACATTACTTGAAAACTTGTTTCTGTGATGTCTTTTATTTCGATGTCCTCCACTGGACCACGCTCTAAAATGGAATGATTTTGTAAAAAGCTACAAACAATGAAAAATTCACACATTGGTCACATGACTTGTATTATGAAGAACAAAGAATATTATACGCTGTAAGTCATGGTAATAAGGAACGGAAAGTATTTAAGCGATGCATTAGTATGGGCGATTGGTCATACGTATAGGTTGGCGTTTCGATTTTATAAGCGAGCTTAAAATCCCTATTATTTAACAAACGTAAGAACATCCATAATTCCTTATCTATTTTGCTTGCAATCCTCTATTAAAAACCAAAATGTGTACATGTCCAAAATGAAATAAAAACATTAAGGGTAAAATGATCTAGATTCCAAAGCCACGTATCTACAATCACTGGATTGATAGTAAAGACTCTGACTTGTAGCTACATGTTCAGGATCGCTTCTTTCACAAGTTGTACTGTTTTGGTCATCTTTGCCACTTTCCTTTACAATGGTGAACACACAGAATGTATAGTTTGTAAAGGGTATGAGGCCATCGATGATATGCGTTGTAGAAGTTCCAGTACTTTGAAATGTTACAGATTTCGTGGTGGATTCCTGTTGATATACGGCAGTATAGTGTGTACCAGTGCCAATTGTTATAATCTCAATTGTTATAGAGTTAGATGTGACTCCTTTGATGTTGACTGAATTTGGTACATCTGGTGCTGTAAGGAATAATAACATTATGATTGTATGAATGTTTTCTTTTTCGAATTGATAACTGAATGTATGTTAATGTGAAATTGTAACTCCCAATCAATAATTGTACGGATGTTTTATTTTTCAAATTGCAAACTGAATCTAATTAGTTAAAATGTTTTTTTACCCTGAGAAGGTCATTGAAGGTGAAATCTCAAATCTCAAATCAGATTTGAACTTCTGAGTACTTGAAAATGATTTTGAAAAATAAGATTGGTCAATTTGAAGCAAATTGAAAAAAGACCTTTTGACCTTGAGAAGCTGATTGAAGGTCAAATCCTTTTTGACCTTGAAAATGTCATTGTAGGTCAAACCTATATTCAGATTTGAGCTTTTAGGAACTTGCAGATGATTTTGAAAAATAATTGGCCAATTTGAAGCAAGTTGAAAAATACCTTTTTAACCTTCATCGAAGGTCAAATCCTAATTCTAGAGTCAGATTTGAACTTGTAGATGATTTGTAAAAAATTGGTCAATTTGAAGCAAGTTGAAAAAAGACATTTTTGACCTTGAGAAGGTCATTAAAGGTCAAATCTTTTTTGACCCTGAAAATAATGTCATTGACGGTCAAACCTATATTCAGATTTGAGCTTTTAAGAACTTGTAGATGATTTTGAAAAATAGTCAATTTGAAGCAAGTTGAAAAAGACCTCTTTTAACATTTTTTGACCTTGAAAGGTCATCGAAGGTCAAATCTTAATTCTATAGTCAGATTTGAACTTCTGAAAACCTGTAGATGATTTTGAAAAAAATTGAAGTCAGTCTAAACAGTATTTGTCAAGTTATTGGATGTTGTAATAAATTGTTAAAGACGCCGATCGCCAACCGTCAACCACCAACCGCCGACCGCCATTCGCCATTCGCCGATCGCCATCACAAAAAACAGAGACCATCACTGTCACTACTTTTTGGTGGTGACATAATATTGTAAAGAATTTAGAAACCCTTCGAATCCTAAATGATTGTCCAACCGAAACGAAAATAAACAAGTCAATTCTCATCCACTTACATGTTGCGTTGGTTACACATAAACCGATAACCAATATGTGGAATATCCAAATAGTCATAACTGCAACCATTGTTACATAACACTTTTTGTGCTCCGTTTGTCAAAAACTGTTTGATTTCCTCTTTAATGCGTGATATTACATCCCAACTTTACTCAGAATCAATTAATAAATCAACTGATATTGAACTTTGAGCGCATTATGAGCTTGGATTACATAAACATCACCAACAATGTTATAAAATATACGTAAGAATCCCAAATTGTTTAACAAGGAAGTAAATTGTATAAAAAACCCACACCGAATCGTTAATACTGACAAAATATACCCCATCGTGTTAACTTGACATTGCGATTCTTATTGATTCAGAATTGCTATTTATTCAGGTATAATTCATTCTGAATGAGACAGAATGAGTTTAAATGCCAACCATAGGGGCACACCAAAACACAAATCCACTTCTGTGTACTAACATTGTACAGATATTTTTCCACATGTTTCACACATAATAAAAGTAAAGGAATACTGTTTTTCAAAATATTATATAAAACAATAAAATACTTTTTATAGTCTTACAGATTTATGTGATTATTCCGAGAATCATAAACGCCAACTATTAAATACTATTTTAATTTGAAATGTGTGGAGTCGAGAATCTCGATATAACATTCGAGTCAAGCTGAGGCCTGGGACAGCAGTACAAAAAGTTAAATGTTTGAAAATCTAATTTCCTGTGCTATGTCCATCTTTCATTTATATTTTTCAACTGGAGTCATGTCTATCTAATATGTGCAAACTATAATGTAGTTTTTAATCAATAGGTTTAAAACAATTGAACATTGAATATAATGAGGCAAATCGCCTTCCGTCATTTGAATCGGTTAATTGTAATGATATCAATTTGGAATCTCCGAAAAGTCAATTAAAAATTAATTAGAAGTCAAAAGGTTTTGCATAAATGTGTCGAACTATGATAATGATGAACCAATCTGGTCAATAGCTAGTTGGTAAGTTTGTATCCCCACGTTATTTACTTACCTTGTAAAGGTTTCATGTATATAATCTAATCTTGAGAAGCTATTCGTGTAGAACTTTTTGAACGACCCGTTTTTATATGATGATAATGATATAAAAACAATTTCTACTTCGTAACGATTCTCAATGAACTGTTGAAACAAGAGATATTTGAGATTTCTGGTAAGCCACGGATACAGGTACAATTTAGGAGTACTTATATTAGTTCAGTTATGTGCATGCAATCGAGATTTTGAAATCGGGACTACTCTAGCTACAAATGTAGGTAGTTAAATCATTTCTAGAGATACAATACAATACATATAAACAGCTAAGTACACTGTACGACATTTTAAACATTTTACTAGTATATTATATTCATGGCTCTCAGAACTAAAGGTATCTACAGTATACTCTGTAGACCATATCTATTAAAATTATTGAAGGCCGTATGATTAGCTAGTCGCTTAAGCCATTCAGACGTCGAAAGAAAATGGTATTGGTTATCGACTGATTTCCAATTATTCTTTAAAAACCACAATCTTTTTTTTGTTAGTCTGGCTGGTGGGTGCCATATTGTGTAGTTATGTATGTCTCTGGTTCGACAGGCCCGTCTACAAAAGAATTGTACGGGTATGGTAGCAACTCTAAGGTCGTAATCTGTACGCCCATACACAGGTGTATTTTTACATTCATCAGGTTCACAATCAGGTGGAATATGTCTCGACCATTTTATGTTCATCTTAGCGAGAACCATGTTGACGACATACTGATCACTTTGTGGACCACGCCCAGTCGCTTCAGCCATCAGTGTATGCGCGAAATCCCAAAATGGACCTATGAAATATATAACAGTAATGAAGTCATTAGTTCTGTGGTTATACCCTTTTACAATAATGTAGTTTCATGAGGGTAATTCCTCAGATTCATAGATGAATCTATCTCCACATAAAATGAAGCTCTATAGGTTCAGCTTTACATATGTATACATAGTGCTATAATTTCAACTATGAATTCTGGGGTATTTTCTTCCTGATTATTACACTCTGTGCCTCAAAGAAATGTCTTATTTATTACATATGTCTAATTTTTACATTTGAATGTTAAAGTATTGCTACTTGGCTCACATGATGAAAGTGCAAAGTACCAATAGCATGATTTTTAAGCAATCAAAATGGCCGCCATTTTAAAACGAGACGAGGGTTTGAGGCTCCACTCGTGAAATAAATGAATGCTTTATATAAAGAAACATTTGAATTGTCATGGGAGACTACGGATTGGCTACAGATGTGTTGACAAACAGACGGACATACAGACAAACGGCGGAGAAGTTGGTGATTACAATAGCCCACCATGCGAGCAATGAAGGATTGCGAATTTGTTACATTCATGAAGATTAATCGAACTTCGATGAAAGGTACTAAACTTCCCAGGTGAGCGCAGACGAAGATTAATGAAGCGGATATGCAGATGACCTTTATTGATAAACTCACATATTTCTCACGGCGGCCCATGTTTAAAAAATAAAATTTAAAATTCGTAGCACGGCGTAGACCATATGCATACCAATTACTAAGTCTAAATAATTAGTTTCAATAGTGAGCATAGCTGTGTGTGAACTCAGATCACATGTCTTAGCAAGACTTCAGGAAATGGGCAAGAACGGGTTTGAATGTGTGTTTTGAGAGTGGGTGAACAAGCATAAGAAGTGTATAGCTAGAGATGGACATTATGTTGAATAGCTTATTTTCATAACAATGGGACTTTAGGAACTGTTTTAATATTGTATTTGTGGTAGTAATAGACCTGGGAGTATGAATAAAGCTATCAGGAAGAATAAATATGTTTTGGAAAGATGTGACGTAAACAAACTTGCCCCGCCTTTTTGTTGTTTCGGTTGCTATAGCAACCACAACTCTGGCCAATCAAATAGAAGACGCTTTAAATTCATAGAATAAAGGTAAAAAGGTTTGGGCTATAAACTCTGAAAATTTCATCAAGATTGGTGCAATATTAAGAAAGTTACAATCTTTCACCTTATTTATTGGACACCCTGTATATCATTAGTTTCTATGGTAAAACGGACAATGCAATGGTACGTTTGCCCAGCTCAAAAAACAATGAAAAAGGAGATCATGATGTTTTTCTCCCGAATTATAGGTAATATGTAAGTGACATTAAACATCTTTTTGAGACATTCTTGAGCATTTATAGATATACGTTCGTATTAACACATGGTTTGCGCACGTCAAAACAGGTCTACAAATAATAAATCCAATGAAGACGTTTTTTGGGATACGATGCAGAAATGACCTAAATTGGAAAAACAAAAAAATAATGTTGTCCACATTTTCAAAAATTATAACTAAGCCCTTGAAACCAAAGCATTATTGCAGAATAATATCGCAGAATGAATCTTAGATGACCTTCATTTATAGAAATATAGATATTGGACATGGTCTGTGCAATTAATTTATGGTACGATGGGGAAGTGTCAGTTTAGATTAATTGATATATCTATCATTTAGCACGCACACAGATTTGAATAGCTTTTATGTAAAAGGTTAAATCTTAATATCAAACATTACTTCTCATACACAGATGTTCTACATACTTTTAACAGCTGTCTTCCTGAAAATGATGGTACCCATGTTCAGCGTGAATCCCCAAAGTCGCTGTAGTTCAAGTGGTGTATACCCAGACATTGTACCGACTATGGTCTCATTCAGATAATTATCATACACTGTATTTGGGTCCTTTAGCGGTAGAGCATCTGCGTCATAGTTATACGCATCACAGCCAAAGTGATTGATCAATCTCCAGACTGCTAGTCTCAGGAACCAGATTGATTTGATGTCAATCCTGTATCCAGGGTACATGATATCATGGACATCGGCATAGATGCAATCTAAATTACGCTCGGTGAGATAGTTTAGAATCGAGAGATCTGGGGTGATGAATAGGATCTGTTGAAATCGTTTATTCTGGAATAGCTGGAATGTCACCATCCAATTAAGAGCGGCTTCTAAGTACTCCTCTGTCAACATTATAACGTTAACTTTCTTGTAGCCGTTACTTGTGATATAAAGCTTCATTTGCCAATATAGTCGAGTTCTCGCGAGATTTCCGAGGGACAAAAACAGGCTAGAGTTGCAGTTACTCGAATTTCGTAAAGCTACGTTAAAATCTGGCGTTTCCCTGGAATCGATTCCCACTCTTGGTTCTTTAGGTTTGTCGATCTCCACTTTTGATTTTATGAAACCATGCTGTATATTACCACCGTTAAATTCAGCGGGTTGATTCATGAAGACCTCCGTGTTGATGATTACAGCGTAGCGTCCATTTACCATTTCCGCTAAACGAGCAGCCTCCTCCCGCGTGATGATGACGTCATGGATAAAGATCAAGATGAAGACGCACAAGGGTACGGTCACGTATATCAACAGCCGGTTATCGTTCACTCTCATATTCTATATCCTTAATGCCAAAGCTACTGTTTAACAAACTTTTGTAGTCGATTATACTGAATCAATCTGACAATGGATCCATATTCCCGAATCTGAACCCTAACAACTACCAACTGTTCATAAATACGTAATGATATGTTTCTGGATACGTTATTGATAGCCGGCATAACCAAAACTCCGAAATTGACATTTGGAAATTAATTAATACAACAGGTTTTAGATTTTCATGTTTACAAGTATTGATATTCTTGAAAAGGTCACAATGGTTTGTAAAGCTAGCCTCCATATTGACATTATCAGGACACACGTTTTAAACGTAACCTTCTTACTCCCCTGATTTCTGCTCATAGGAAATATGAAAAATATGCGGACACCTTCTTTCACGGAAAAGATCTGTTAAGGATCTTAAAGGATTTCTGATTGAACAAATAAACATGTATAATGCACTAGAGAACTCAATGGATACCATCTCAGAGGACAGACAGTGTTACAGTGGCTGGAAGTTTAGAATTCTAGCATTTGGATTGTGCTCGATAGTGTGCAGTTGGATAGCAATGGTGGCCAAAAGTACAGGTGAAGAAACAGACGCACGCGAAACTCCTTTTCAAACTTGCAGCGAGCCTGACTCAGATCGCAAGCTTACAGATTTTACTCGAATACAAATGGAAGCAATTGTTAAACGTTTTAAACTAAAAGATCCAACTGATATAGAATTATTACCTGCGTATTTGGAGAAATGGGCTGAGTGGGAAGAAGCTATTTTGGAAACAAATATAAGCATATTGGACCTGGTATGAGTGTTAGTATCTTAAACTTGAGATTTCTGAGAAACCTAGCAAAATATGATTAATGTGTTGTCTCTAGTACCTTCTGTCAACAATTTTCACTTTGATAATAATTATGCGTCGACTTTCAACCATTTTAGGTTGCAAACTCTATAGCTACTGCACTACGCCAAATTTCACCAGAATACAGACCAAATATATTTTGCAATTCTCTTCAGCTTTTAATCCATTGCTTTCCAGAGTCCTATTCCATTTTTGTCGGACTATAGATCACCTTGCTGGATTAGCCGATTATCAAGCCATCCCCCAGAATATGTCTGGAGCCGTGGTAGAGAGAATGATATCGTTATGCGTTACTGGCAGGAATCGCATGATGATGGTGTTCGATTTCGGCTACGATGTCTTCCGTACTTTTACATTGTTGGTGTTGTAAAATCTGGCACGACTGATCTGTTTCACCGAATATGTAGTCATCCGGATGTTGCTGAAGTCCTTAGGAAGGAATATCATTGGTGGTCATATCTGAGGCCACCTGATGGTAAAACAACCGCTCTAGAATAGCTCTTGGTGAAACAACATCTGAGAACAATGACAACTAAATTAATGCAAGGCAAAGAAATGATTGCAGCTTTCCAATGATAAATCAGTATATTTTTCTCAAGTTGTAGTAATTAGAACCAATTTACTCCCAACCATATACTATTACCCTACCTTCGACACTTCTTTTGTTTTAACTATTATCAATTATAGCACGGTGCTTTTCTAGGTGAACTGGTTCGGGAGAAACATGGCGGAGATTCTGGACTCCCCGTTCCGATGAGCGTCTACGTGAACGCCTTTGATGTTCCAGCTGAAGATATCAGGAATTCCTCTGCGCTGCATCTTATCATAGGTAAGCTTGACTATTACATCCCTAGTAGAAACCTAGATCTTCCGAAAATGCAGCTATCTTTTTGTCCATTGTTTTATTTTATCAAAAAGAAGAAAAAATGAAACCTCACGTGTCTCGTAGATTACTTTAACGCGTGTTTTCTAAACTGTGGTTTGATCAGGCGTATTACGTTTTGTGCTAAATTGGATGTTTCATGAGGTTTGTGTTTATCATAATAATATACATGCTTGGATCATCTTATATCTTAAAAGTACATGAAAATGTAATATAGCCAATAAGATGGTGTTTTGGAACACATTCAAGATAAAACACGGCATAAAACCAACGACGTGTAATTAACTAATTCTGGAGAGACCTACATATTATAGTAAAATCTAAACTGTATGATAAATCAGACTTATGAACTAGAATCATGTATTTCTCGCTCACAAAAATCATTTAAGCTAATTAAGGTCGGACAACCTTTATTTTTCTTCTTGAAATTACAAATTAGATACATCAGATTTTTAGTATCTTAACAATTTACAATTTTTGGAAGTAGCTATAATGGATAACGTTAGATTGTATATTCATAAAAGGGTATTGGGACACGAGGTATTAAAGATGGTCATTTGAGACTAAAATGAGTAAATGATGGATCATTTTACCCTGTCATGGATTCTATATTCCTTATTCAACTTTAGCAGAAAATAATGAAGTACGTATCGGGTTATAAGTAGTTATTAAAATACAGATATACACGCGATGGCATTCCAGGCCTCTGTCGTGCCTAGTCGAAGCGCAAGATGTTATTGACAGAGTCATAAATTGAAACCGTTTCACAAGAAGGACGAGGTGCATTGCAGTATTGATTGTTACTAGATTTATGACAAACAACAAAATAATACATTTTTCAATATAATGGTATATCAAAATAATCTTATCCGTAGCATAAATAAATGGGGTTAAGTTCTAGATCTATAACCCCGATTTGTAAACGTCAGTTTAGTATGGATGATTTACGTAAAACAATGCAGTATGTGACACAATTTGTTAAAATAATTTTTGGTGAAATATGATTATGATTATTTGAAGATAATACCAGCTATTAATATCTACAATTATAGTAATAATTGCACAATTATGGATAATTTGTCAAACATTCAAGTGCTCTTTTTGGATAGTTTAAATCGACATGAAAAACAAAATGTACATGTTACTACCCAATGTCAAACTACCCAATGTAGAAATGTAATATCAGTAATTAATTTTTGAAAATAGCCGATTATAATAAACTGCTCTTATCTTATCTCTGATCTTATGAGATTTTGAAAATGTTGTCAACCTTTGGTTCGCCTTCCGTCCTTGTATTTTGTAGGCGATGGCAGTCCAAGTACAGCCACACACATTACAACTGAATCTAGCAGTCCAATGGGCCCAGAACTGATCAATGCAGATTTCATATATCATGTGACACCACAGGCGAGAATCATTTACATAGTGAGGGATCCGGTAGAGAGGTTTGTCCAGTTCCAAAACGAATCTATTTTCACATTAAGTGGTGGCACACATTCTGATTTACGCGAATAAAATGATCATGAAATTATATCTACCCCTCCCAGATATGTTATCACTAGTGGAATTTCTTATGTATAATTGTATACCTAAATGAGTTGAGTTTTGCTTTTATTTACCTTAAGAAAAATAAGACATTGGTTCGTCCGATAATAAGAGGCTCACCACAAAAGTTAAAGACCGTGTATGAATATCTAATCAAAAGTGCCAAAGGGAGAGGACCAAAACTGTAAAGAAACCTAGCAAGAAATTTAAAAGCAAAATCTAAGTGTAAACCTGTCATAAGAAAGAAAACTAGACATCCCAAACTATAATCTAGCGTGAACCGAAATAATGACTAACAACACCCCTCTTCCCCCTTGCTTCTCCCTCCAAATCGAAAGCCAATTATCACAATCCATGACCAGAACACCAAGGGATATTTCATTTATACTGAAATAGATATTTAATTCAACCAACCACGTTTTTACAATTAATTATAAGGGAGGTTAAGTTACACGTTTTCTAGAGAACCTGTATGTGAGCGTGTGATATCTTGACCTTCAGGGATTACTGTCCCGCTGCTCTCAATTCACTTTCCAGGGACCTTATTACAATTATTTTCTGTATATCCTTTATACTCAATCGGCCAAGTAAACACTAGTAATGGGAGAACTACGTAATCCACCGAGGACCATAATTCTACACGTTCACGTGCAAGTTAAAAAACGTGTATCTTAACCTCGATATTGATAACTAGATGAATCGGGTATTTGTTTATGCCTGGGTCAGAGGCCGGCGCCCGGCCGATTGAATGATTTGTACAAAATTTTGAACAAAATACTCAATCGGCCGGGCGCCGTAGCGAAAATCGGAGCAAATGTGACCAGGGCATTACTCCTTGCTAATTGTCAATTAAATTGTAACTCTAGGATGAAGAAACTTGATAAATTGTTTTCCATCGTGAACGCTATCTTCATGAAATAAGCATTGCTGCAACTGACAGGGAATAGCAAATATATGTTGTAAAAAACCAATAATATTGCAAAGTGAAATAAATCTTAACTTTAAATGGTATATTAATTGATCGTATTATATCTTCAGATTGTATTCGGCATATTTGTTCTTCCATCAATACGAATATAAATCACCAGAATTATTCCACAAACGCGTGAAGGCCCGCGTTGATGCATTCACGAAATGCACTTCTACTTATGGAAGCATACGCCCCTGTGTGTACCACAGATTTGGACAACAAGATGGCGTCGAAGATAACATTGCAAGGGTAAGTATAGGTATTTGTTGTACCCAACACACCTACTCATCTATATTGTTCTCCTCGATCAGATCTGTCAAATATATGACAAAATGCGTATAACAGTATACAGACAGGTTTAGGCAGAAAACATTGTAGATATTAGTAAAAAAGATTCACTGAGTATTGTTTGAGACGCTCCTTTGCGATTTGATCCATTCTTATATTTTTCTAGATGAGTGTCACGGATGGAATGTACTCCGTGCTCATAGAAGACTGGGTGAAAGTGTTTTCCCATGAAGCTATACTAGTGCTACGGATGGAAGACATGCCTCCGACAATGGAGGATACAATGAAACGTGTATTGATACATTTAGGCATACGTAAGTATTCTTAGAAAACTGGCGTCGTTTGAATGTGTCAGTCTGTGATTTATATTTAGTAAGTGGGCAAAACAACTTTAGACATAATTAATGAGAGAATGGTGGATGTTTAGACAACCGGACATTGCGAACAAAGAGACAAGCCAACAGGCAGAACGAGCAACAAATAGTTATGCAGGATATGCAAAGACAAACGACCAAGCTGAATAAATAATTGAACAAAGCATATAGGTATAGCCAAATGGACTGGGAAAACTAGACGAAACGAATTAAAAAAATTAAAAAAGAACAACGAAACAAACAGACCAACAAACAAAAACTTCCAAGATGGCTGCCAGAGTCCAAGATGGCAGCCAAGCCAAGCTGACGACAATATCGTACCTTTTTAAAAAAAAATATAGTCACTCGCGGAAGTACACGCCATAAATCTGATGGGTTAAGGCAATTTGCCGTCCTACACCGAGAGGTCAATTTTTGTACATCTACATAATATTGCGTAGAACGTTATTTTTGGTTCTCAGATCCACTTCAGTTCTTTTCCAATATCCCTTCATTTCCGTTGTTCCAGGTAGATTCGATAAAGTCTCACTTCGGGGATCTATGACAGAGGACATAGATAAGATGAGACGAGTGAGGCACAGAAAGGTCCCTGATATGTGGAACAGTACACGAAAAATGCTACAGGATTTCTATCGACCCTTTAATAAGCACTTGTCTGATCTTACACACAATTCAAAATACAACTGGGGTTACTAACGATATGAATTCAAATCGAAAACTGGATCCATTCACGCACTCTCTAAAGTGCCCTCTCTAACACTCTTGCTTCGTCAAGCTTCGGATCCAAACCCAAACCATTTCTGCGTTGAGTTAGATATAAATTGTGTGTAATTACGGATATTTGAAAGTATTAACTATGGTGTTTTTGAACAATATACATCATTGATGTAATTTGTGTTATTTGTGAGAACATTTTGATATATATTTGGTTTTTGCTATGCCTGTTGTTTTTGCATCGTTTTGTTATAGAAATTGATTGTTATTTATGTCACCACCAATAATTGGTGACATATTGTTATGGTCTCCGTTTCTTTGACGGCGGTTGGCGATCGGCGTCTATAACAAATTCTTGGTGTTCAATGACCTTTACAAGGTCAAAAAAGGTCAAAAAGGTATTTTTCAACTTGCTTCAAAATGACCAATTTATTTTCAAAATCATCTACAAGTTCTCAACATTTCAAATCTGACTATAGATTTGACCTTTAATGACCTCCTCAAGGTCAAAAAGGTCTTTTATCTTGCTTCAACTAGATGGTGACATTTTGTCATGTTAATGCCTTGTTATTGTTATTACAATACCATTTCATCTTGATTTCAATCTAACTAAACAGTTACGAATGAAATTACTTACATAAGTGTGATAATTAAATATGGAAAAAGTTGTGAAAAGCAACAATAATTTGCCATTATGTCCCTATCATTGAATATGCCTGATGTCTGTCGTCAATGAAGCCCGAGCTTGCGACATGATTTTGTAACCGACCTTCAGCTCCAGTGACCACCATACAGATGCTTCGCTAGGTATGTAATACTATAAAATGAATTCAATATAGTGTGAATAATGCTTTATAATATGTGAAGGTAGTTGTATTATTGTTATTGTATTATTGACTATTCCTGATAAGCTTAATATATACGTGTTAAAACAAAACAAAATGTTGAGATTTACGAATTTTCGATGTATTTTCGTCATATAAACATTTTGTTTTGTTTTAATACCATTTGCATTCTTTGACTTCGCTTCTTAAAAGAGAGCTTCTTCTTCGAAAGATTGGTAGGGATATTATTGTTTATTAAAGCATTGGAACATAAAAGTATACAATTCAACATCGTTTTCTCTTAAACCGATTATTGAAAACATTCTGTAAATACACGATCCTTTATGAAATGGTCACTGATTGACAATTTAATGAGAAAACCATTTACATATATTTTTGACTAATTGCTTTTTGTGAAAATGTTTTGTTTTTGAGTGCAATTGTTTTTTCTTCTTTTCTACCAATTCTTGAAAGTGAAATAAAATATCTATCCGAACCTTAATGGAACAAAATAGCATATGCAACATTTTCTTAGATCTCGCAATATCGGTTATACAAAGGAACGTTTGGTTCATTAAAAAAAAAGTATCCAAAAAATAAATAAAAAAAAACAAAATAGATAAAAATCAAAGCATACCTTTTATTTCATTAACAAAATGCAATTATCTCATCGAGAGACCTAAAAACGTTGTGTATATTTCATTTTGTTCCAAAGAGGTTATTACGCAGTTAATTTGTTGATTTAACATCAATCCAAGGTCAATGAAAACACAAAATGGGATTCTGCGCTAGCCTAAGGACTGGTGCGAGTCTACTCAACTAGGAATCGAACCCACGACCCCTCGTAAACGTATTCACTGATCGAGAGAATTAACAAAGATCTTTTTTGTTTAATGTGCGTCAACATTAATTGCAAAAATACAAAACAAGTGGAAAAGTATTTCAGACCGAGAAACATCTGAATTAATGGAAAATGTGCACAAAACAATACTGTAATATAAACATTACATTCTCTTATGAATAAAAGGAAAGGAGGTCTAGAACGCGTCTCGAACTCATAACCTTAATCTTGTTACGGCGAAGGCTAATAGCTGTCTATTAAAGTATTTGAAGACTGGGTGGTTGTTTGTTTGCCAGATAATGGAAAATCAAGATAAATGGGAACACAAAAAATTAAATATTGAGGACGATTGCTTGTTGGCAGTTAAATAATACAACACATATTTCACTCTTTTCTGTGACTCCCTAGCACTTTCACAAGACGATATTTCACTAGCACCTCGACCTTTATGGAATATCGCTTTGCGGATGCGCGAATATTGACGGTGAACTAAGCAGAAGGAAAAACCGTATTAGTCCTGAAACAGGATAAGGTAATTTCACTTTGATTTTGAGATATGTCCTCAACCACAGGCATGCGCACAAAGTACAGATTTATAGCAGAAATAAAGTAAAGCTAGTCAATAAACGAAGATGTAGCATGACTTTAATTTATTTGTTATGTGCTCTAAAAGAGTCCGATAACGGGCCTCGTACGAGCTCGTACGGGCCTCGAAATAAAGAGCCTCGTAAATGCTCATACGGGCCTCGAAAACAACAATTACGAGCATCGTACGAGCTCGAACGGGCCTCGAAAATGAGCTCCGTACGAGGATTGTGCTCTTTTTTGCCCGTAATGACTCGTTATTATCGAGGCTCGTACGAGCTCGTACGGGGCCCGATGTAATTTGCATGTGTAACGGACGGGAAATGGTGATGCAACTCAATTAAGAATATTATCATTACCACAATTAATGCACGCCGCATTTGTATAGTACGACACGTGGATTTGATGTCAATAAAGCGTATCACTTCCAGAAATAAACTCACCCTGGTCCAACATCGTCATTTTTGTAACGTACGGTTTAATCTCGTCCGTTCCCGTGTCCATATTGGGATGGCCCAACATTTCTTCGTATACTTTAGGTTGAATATAGAAAGTATGCGCCGATAGATGTCAACTGGATCAATGTTATACGGCTCTATTGTCCTTCCAATATAAGTACTAAATCAAGGAGAGAGCATAACACATCTTTGTCAGATATATGAGACACTGCAAGAGACTTTTAAGGTAGCGCAATATAGAATTGATATTAAACGAGATACTGGTTGTAGGCTATGTTTTAATTTCTATTGCGAGAGACAAGAACAGCTAAAAGGGAAGCATTTCGCCGATCAGAGAGTAAAAGGGAACAATACAATAATAACAACACGGAGTTATCGAGACGCTGAGGAGTTAGGAACATTTCTCCAGAAAAGTAAATATTTTATTCAAAATTAATAACACATCTTTTTTTCGAACCGATTATATGAGCTATTTAAAGGCTCGTCTTCTAGATACTTACATGTATTTAAAGGGTCTCTTGCATTAATCTGATAACACAAACAATAAGTCATTTATGAATTGTCATTAAGTCGCTATAATTACAAATTAGAATGAGAGTTCCTGGCATGGAAAATCAATTAAATTCTAGTAATAACAATACATGCGAAATGCGAATGGATTAATTTACTTACGATGCATACGCTGTTGCCCACACTTATGGAATATTTGTCATTTGTTATTAATAATGATTATTTCAATGCTCATCACTATTGAATTATGAAGCTTTTTCAAAAGGACGCAAATGGATTTACCAGTAAATATGAGCTAAATACCTTTGTAATTTACAACATTTTTCATCAAATGTTTTGGTCATTTTCATAAATTGAACTTGTAGTAGGCGACCGTTGGAAATATATTTATTAACTGTATACCTGGAAAAACAATTTTCATTCAATGCTTGATATTTGCAGAGCTAAAACATATTTTCAAGACCTTATAAGGTAATGCAATCCCATAAGGTAATATAATCCTTTAATAAAAACATTTTTCACAGCTGTTATAAACGGGTTTGTATTAAATGTTAAAATATCAACACGACCTCTAACAAAATAAGTAGAATGGTGGAGGAGCCGATTTTTGCCAAAAAATTCAATGAAACTGCAAGATTTTTTCATGAGAAAGTTTACCAATAAATCGCGAAATGATTAAACGCACGGTATGGCAAAATCTGTAAAGCATTTTATGATTTTTTGAAGTGATTTGCTTCTAAGGTATGAGATCTATTTGAAAAGGCGCAACGTCACCACTGTGTAAAAGTCAAGTTTTTCCTATAGATCAATCAACTCTGGTCTACGCCCTGTAATAAATATATATAGATCATTTTCATATCACAAAGTGTATGTCGATGTCGCATTTTAAAATGAGTTATAATAATAATTCATGACAAAGGTAGTGAGTAGGGCGGAGGAGTAAATGTAGTTCTCTACCCTACTCATTTTGTTCGATTACCGGCCGTGATCATACAGACATGGACGTGTAAAATCACGTGTGTATATATTGATATTACAACATTTTCAAAATTCTTAATAATTCGATTTAAACTATTTCAAAAGAAGAATCAAAATGAGTATATATATTCAACGAGCTGGGAAATTAGCTTTCAGAATGTTCATTAGGAAGTATAGCTTCATGTGGGAAAATCGAATTGTGCTTGTTTTTCAGGGCGAAGTTTATATTGCTCCGGAAATTAAACAATCACAGACCCTAAAGTCGATCTTAGAACTGTTACTTCGCCTTTTGTGTCTTTTCAACGAGACATGTTTTCTGAAAAATAATTTTGACCTTGATAACTCGATACATAGCCTTGCACATTGGTTCTTAAAGTTCTATTTACATTATTTAGAATGATAATAAAATGAGTCTAGTCATCAAGTTTATCATGATCATGGGTTGCATTTTTTCACATCCTAGTACTTTTCAGTGAATTCGTTCTGCAGGTTTTTGTTTTTAGTAGGTGATATGTTTTCCAAATTCAGTATTTCCTGTGGTGTATCAATTGCATATAAAATGAATTAAACTTCAGAAAACGGATAAACTGTGGTTTATAGGCATCACCTCGAAAGGCAAATCAACAGTTGCTCATTGATCTGTAATATTAACATTGACCAATGCTAGCAAAGGTCGTTCTAACAATTGCCTCAGTGCCGACTCAACTTTAATTGCAATTGCTGATTTTAGATAATAAGGAAAGTTTAGAATGGACACTAGGGTTACAGTGTAGTCGTGCTTTTTTTTAAATAGCCGTTTGATTTTTTGTCGCATGTAGCCATAACTAAAACCTGAATTCTTTTCTCGATTCTTACAAAATCACATTTTCATGATGTTTCGTAATGATTGGTTTGTATGAGGAAATAGAAAACACAAACTGTGAAATTATTGAACAACAAACGTATAATAAATCATATAAACTGATGTAATCACATTCCACATCGATGCAATATCATATTTTTAACCTGACAATAATGACTACCTCTGTGTACATGTAAGTATTGCTTGCATAGTCTTGCAAACTCATCGTATTAATCTCTTTTGTCAAAGGGGTGCTGATTCCTTAACAGGTGGGCGGTAGGTAGATAAACTCTACTTCCAAAGTTCAGCAACCTGGATTCTCTCTATTAGTGGATAGCCAATGAAAGCCTGTTTACGTCTACCCTTTGCATTCGTTTGACTTCACTTCTTAAAAGAGAGCTTCGTCTTCTTGTAGTTTAACTAGACTCTGCACGCAGGGTAGTTTACGTCTGATGGCACCAAAGTCGCCCTAGGGCGTATCCTTGTATCTATAGCGCTGACTTATAACCTTTATTTCCGTAGCAATTAGGCACGTCCGTAGCCATGCCGTGGAGTGGTTTGATGGCGACCCTTCGTCGAGCGTACGGTAGCGTATGTGCTTCCTCATGAGGGAGATGGAGCAATCTGCATGCGTCAGGTTCGCTTTTTTCTGGTCTGCTATTTCGCATATGCCAAAAAGTTAGTGAACCTCTCCTCAAGACTGGAGAGCAATACCGTTCATTTTGAAATGCTGGTTGAGTTCAGGGTAAACGGTGACACATCGATAACGTCTGACAGGCCACAGGGTCGCCATGGTGTCCCCTATGGTCGCCTTGCCCTGGGACGACCTTAGGCGAGATGTGCGTCATCACTTCAAAGGCCGTTCAGCAGTTCCAGGTTTTCCATATAAACTAACAATACGCCCTGCTGCTGCGCTTATTCACGCCTAACCATCGAGAACGTACAGTGACAAGATATACCGTCTGACACTTTAGGTGTACGGTGTCACTATTAACTGATTTGAAGCGAAAACTATGATGAAGGTTTGATTGTTGTTTTTTAAAAATTAATTTGAGGAGTACAAGGATTTAATGTTTGGTTTCGTGTGTATTCGATTTGGAAGACATTTACCTTTCTAATTACGTTAAAAGATTTTCGATTTTTCGTTGTTAATCTACCAATGCAATTGGTCGGTTGGAAAATGTGTTTTTACACATTTCCTCTGATCATTTTCTCCCGTGTCGTCTAAGAGTGCCGAATATTTTTACGAGAATATGTTTCTCTAAACTACACAATTTAAGACGGTAGAAGGTTTTATAAATATTCATGTATTTGGTATAATTTAAAAAATCAAAAATGTACGTTGTCATCTCTGATGTACGTTGTCCCTGTAATTGAAATGTAAACAATGCAATGATTTAATATCAAAACGCATTAAGGGTTTTATGAGTAACAAGTGATATTCAACGAACACGTTCATGTATCCCTGGTACAGATAAACAAGTAAAAGCGATTTTTTACCTCTTGTTGAATGCTATTTTATTCTATGAAAGTGTTGATATGGTGATTAATATTTGACCATGGGGTGTTATCTTGCAACTTCTTTGATCATACGACGTCGGTACGTTACGTTATGTTTCACTTTTATGGATTTTAATAATCTTAAGGAGTTCATGGAGAGATCTATACTAGCTAATCGAAGATGACTTTCGAAATCCAGTTTATGCTATATCCGGAAAGTGCAGAGGTTCAATATAGTTCAATCCGAAGTTGAATTAGTAATACTGGATTGTTCTGTCACTGTACGTTGTCGATGGTTAGGCGTGTTATTATGCGACTGCAACAGCATGTGATCGTGGGAATCCCCTGTCTCATAATTGCTATGTGCCGTAGATATTTTAATCCCCATGCCCGGCGCGGCAAATGTGACCGAGCATCAACTCGCACTCACCCCAATAATCCCCCTTTCGCATTTCGTATTAATCCGAAGATAATAATGCTAATTAGTATAATTGAAGCGAAGTATTAGAAAGAATAAATAATTGTTAATGACAATGAAAATGAATGGCACGGGATTATTGAAAATATCATATGATTGTCTCTAGACAGACAGGCTTCCCATAGGCTCATTCAACAAGGACGACAAGGCAAAAACGTATATATTAGGGTCGTTCAAAAGGTTTTGCACTAAGCATCTCAAAAGAGGAGGTTTCATCATTTTCACATGGCGAATGATTGGATTTAAAAAATACTGTTGAAGGAAATCTTGTTTGTTTTTTTACAATAATGGTATGATTCAAAACGTCATCGTCTTGGTTACCATAGCAACCACGAAATATAATTATAAAGTAGTACGCGTGTATTTACAAAACCTAAAATTGTTCAGTGACGAGGGGGTGGAAAAATCGAAAAATTTGGCGCGCTTGTGTGGTAATTTTGAGGTTCATATTTTTAAAATTAAGGCTGAAAGCTCATTGAAAAGCTAATGGTGGCTCTAACTACTACATTTTTTCTTTTACAAAAAAGGTAAGCTTAGGTCTATACATGTTAGGAGATATCAGGGGCGGGGGGTGGTACGATGGCTCCAGGCCTGCGAATAACCCCAATATTTAATATGCCCCATATGATCCATATGGCCCAGCTTCGTCACCCCTTCGAGACGAGAATATCAGCACTCTAATACTGCTTTCTGAGTATTCAATTAAGTTAACTAGCATATGCATTGGTCAGTATTCCTGTTCTTCTAACTTAGGTTGACATGAAAAGCAGTGAAAATAGTATAAATGAGAATTGTTCAAGGCCCTTTATATTCTGTCAGTGTCATCAATTTAATTATATTTATATTTCATAGTTAGCTATAATTGATTAAAAGGTATCAGCGGAGCAAATAATCCAAAAGAGATTAGCCGATTACTTGCCATGGGCATGATTATATTGTTCAAATTGATCTCTAAAGGTTATTCCCGAACAATAAACGTATCCAAAGAATAGAGAATGTAATTAGCTTGTTTTGGACGCATTGAATGACAGTATTAAAGAGGATCCTTGGATACTAACATTTATTCATGACACCAACCTGTCATGCCCTTATACATAGATCATCTA